TGTGCGCGTGTGCATGTGCGTGTGCGTGTGTGCGTGTGTTTGTGCACGCGCACGCCCAACCTGGGTACCTATAGTGTCTAGAGTGGGAGAGGGGAGGGCAAAATGTGATAGGCAGATCCGATGGGCCAGCTTCGCAGTCAAAACACTGGGAAGCTTTAAGCTCAGTATTAAAGGAACAGGTGGAAAGCAGAGAGTAATCACAGAAAGCACCCAACATTTTCCTCTGGCTTCCCATGCAAATGTCTGCGTGCACCTGCGCGAAGATAAGTGCACCCACACACGCGAGTGCGTACACACGTGCACACACACACACACTGCCCACAAAGAAGAAAATTTCATAACTAAAATTTTCTCACTTTTCAGTTATACTAATGTTATAAAATTCAAGAAATGCAATTATTTAGTAAATAATCATTAACAACAGGCATGCAGCCAGCATGTATTGATGAATAAATAGTACCTGAGAAATGATTACCTTGAAACCTTGAAAAGCTGGACAAGCAGCTGCTTGCTTCTGTTTGAACTTGAGGTATTGCTATGATTTAACCCATTTGACTACACGCTGCTCCCTTAAACCTAACTGCTCCAGTCTTTGGATTCACAGTGCTTGATGTTTAGGTCATTAATTCTGACTATTTCAAAAGCCACTTTTGTTGTCATTTCAACACAAGGCTTGGGAGATGTGTGCAAACATATGTAGTTTGGGAGGCTGAAGTGCTTGGGTCTATGTAATCATTTAAAGTGTGTTTCAATATCTATGATCTAGTAACATATAAAGGTCTTTACCATTGGCTTCTCTGCATTCTCTCTGTCTTTCAAGTATATGTCTTCTCACTGTACACTGTAATTTTATAAACATAGAACTGAATTCCATTTCCTAGCATAGGGCCTGGATTGTGTTTTCTCTAGAAGTGACCTCCCTGACAGGTTATTCAATATAGAGTAATCAATTACAAACATAATCCTAAATATAACACACATATATGAAATGATAATAATAAAAAGATAAGAGATCATGCATTTGAGAGGGAGTAAGAGGGCACAGGAGGACTTGGAGACAGAAGAGGTATAGATATAATATAAACATGGTACTCGTGTATGAAGTTCTCAAAAAAGTAAAAAATTTTATATAAAACATCATGAATGACCTAAAACTTTCTGTATAACCAATTAATGAAGTAGAAGGCCAATCTACTATACCATTTGAATATACTTAATATGTTAATTCCTCCATTTTGGTATAATTTTGATTACCTTGCAGGCTATATATCTCTTTAAGGCTTTAGTATTTTAGCCTAATGACTATGAATTTAGTCATTAGTGAGTCCTCTTTCAAGGTCTTCTGTCTGCTCTATTTTTGACTATATTATTTGAGACTTCAGGAGTCTCAAATATTTATTGTTATTTATATTTATTTATTATTTGTTATTATATTATTTATTTATTTGTAGCTCTCCTCTGTTTAGTGCTGACACTGTCATACCTGTTATACTGTTTATGTATTTGAGATGTTTGCTGTCAGATTGGGAACAGGAAACAAAGATGAAATTTGAATAATCAGGTGAACTCCTGTCATACCAAATGGGACAGTCTTCTAACATTTTTTAATTTACTTTTTTATTTATGTCTATGTTTATGCTTGTGTCTGTGTCTTTGTATGCCAGGTAATGAGGGTACTTGTGGAGGCTGGAAGGGGCTATTGGATCCCCTGAAGATGGAGTTACAGAGTTACAGGCAGTTATGGGCCACTTGACATGGGTACTGGGAACCAAACTTGGGGCCTGTGGAAAACCAGTAAGCACCCTTAACTGCCAACCCATCTTTCCAACCCCAGCTTCTGAAAACTTTTTAGTTAAGTCAGTGTGGTAGAATAAAAGTAGATCTTGCTACTTACTGCTCTTAGGGGTGACAAGAACTTAGCTTTAAGATCCTATTTCTGAAGACACCATAAATTTAATAGGACTTGTTTCTCATGTTGGTATTAAACCAGGAAGCTTCCTCCTTGTTGGCAATTATGAAGCCAGTTTTAGGAGAAAATCTTCCACAGTATTACCCAGCTGTGAATGTTGTGAACTAGTGTGGCAAGATATACCCACAGGTGCAACAGTGGTTCAAATGTTATGGAATAACCCACTGTTCTCTGATTGGACTCAAGGTTCACTCCAGAAGAATATAGCCATGTTTAGGATTGTAAATCTGGTCAAGAGCATATGGTTGGAAACTCACAGGTCTAAGGGGTAAACCTGCTACTAATTCTACTAAATGGACAGCATAGCAAAGTGCTCTTCAAATGTCAATCTTTATACCATGAAGTACTGTATCCTTCCAACCACATTAGGTAAGTTTCCTTTGCAGTCAATGCTAGTTAACACACACACACACACACACACACACACACAAAACCAACAAACTCATGATTGTTCAAAATGCAGATAATACATGTTAGTGGAATGTTCAGTCACAAACAGGACAACTTCATCACAGCCAAGGCTCAGGCACCATCATGTAAAACACAATGAGATTATTATGAGAACCAGAGGCCAGAGAGGACCAGAGTGAAATATTATCTTCTTGGTGTGACAGGACAGCTGTGCTCATGCATTCACAGCTGGATCAGAACTGCACACAATCAACCCAGTCAACATTCTAGCACAGAAGTAGAAAGGGATCACAAACCTCCAACCCTAACTGAGGATATAGTGACAGTCGGTGGCTGCTCTCGAAGAATCAGATTTCTTTAAAGTGTGGCCCCTGGTAGCGTAATCATACTCCAGCGGACTGGCCCACACTTGTGACTATAAGGGCAGGGCAAATTGCATTCTGAGTTAATATTTAGAAACACAACAGGAAGCTGAAACTGGAAAGGGAACTAAAGATGTATCTAAGAGAAGCTTTAGAAAAAAATGATCCATTCTATAAATATGTGTTTTAAAATAACTCTGAAGTTGGCAAAGTATGTATCTAGCTGAAAGTTATAGAAGCCAATTAAGAAGAATTGATAAGAAATTTTAATAAGAAAATTTGCAAGTTCATTTTTATATAGGTAAAACAGGATGGAAGCCAATGCTAAGGTGTTCTATCTTCAGCCAACGTCTTGTTTACTGAAGAAAACAGAATCACAGCATGGAGAAAACCATTATTATATTTCTTACCTGATTGACTCCATCAGATCAAGTTGTATTAAAATATCATGGTTCAAACAAATTTGTTAAAATTTTAAATTCTGGTCATTTTTACACATATATAATAACTTTCTGTCTCCCACTAAGATCTTTCTTATTCCCAACAAGTTCCATTATACATACATACATATATATACATATACATATACATATACATATACACATATGCATATATAAAGACAAGAAAATAGTATGCTCAACAAGAAATTGTTTTCATAGACGAAGCAGGCAAAGTGAAAAATCAAATGTCACAAGTTTAAATCTCAGAAGTCACGAACCTCTGTAACTGTTTGCATGCACATTTTACATGCATACAGTCTCCGGCAGTAATGCATGTATAGTAAATACGATGAGATGTTGGAAGTCTGAACTACAAGCTTTTTTAGAATTTATCTCTACCCCAGGGAAACAAAAAAAGACTTTTTGGTGGTTGTTTTTAATAATCCTCCTTCTTCACCTATACCAGAAGAACACTTGCCGTTTAAATCTCTCACTTAACAATGTAGCTCCTCCATCACATTCATCTCATGCACTGTGAAGAAACAGTAGAGCAGCATTCACAACCCTCCTGCCATGAGAAAGAACTGAATGTAAATTCCTATTAAAAGTGAATAATGATGTATCTAACCTCATTTTAATTCCAGTAATTGACTGGGGAAACAGGAAGATCTATTAAAAGGACCATTGCTGGTCAAGCACTAATGAGAAAATATCTGAGTCACTGGCTGTCATGGTAACAGGGTATTATCAAAATCTGATCAGTATGCCCAGTAGCAACTGAAGTGATAGGCTATACTTCTAATTGTGTTTTCTCTACTTGCAAGATGGGCTCTGTGTTTCTCAGAGGTGAGCGTGTGGCACAGCTTTGTTGATCAGATAAGGAAAAGATGACATATTCGTAAATTAAGTTCAAGCATATAGCACCAAGGATAAATTAAACACTGGGAAGTTTTCAAAAATTACACAAAATGTCTTGTTATTGCCTTTCAGATTTCTGAAAAAGACTACTTTTTCCATCTATTTCAAAACTGGTTAATGCAAAAGGAACTTGGTGAAAACATGAAAATTAATCAATAAATCTTCTCAAGGAAAGAAATTTCAGATGGAATAGTTTGGAAATGAACCCAGGAACCATAAGTTCTCAAAAGTAATTAGGCCAGGCAGAAAGAGGCAGAGATTAGAGTATTCAAAAATCATTAACAAATAAGAATAAATACCAGAAAGTAGCCAGCTTTGTTGGCAGAAGCTGATACAAAGGAAGTGTGGATAGGCTTCTGTGAGGCCTGTGTGCTCAACAGCAACCTTCCTGTCACTGCCTGAGTGTTTGGATACAGAGTTTCAGTGAATACTTAAGTGTCTTTAGATCGGTCTACTTCTCTTTAATATCTTGAGTGACATTGGATTTTAAATGAAATTGATTGCGGCCTCCTGGTCCTTTTAGGTGAATAACTTAATTCTAAAAGGGAAATCTGTAGATTAACAGAGATGCAATAAATGCTGGCATGCGTTACTGACTAGGATCTCATGTGCTTTCTCAAAGCTGGTGGACATAACATAAGCATCATTAATAACACTTGTCTTGGAATGCTGGTTACTCTTGTTAACTGTGTCAGCATGTGGACTGGGCCTCACATATATCAATATGAAAGTGACCAATCTATAGTTAATGAAAGCCAAAGGCACATTTATCTACAATATTCTACATTCGAGGAGGGTGTACGATCTCAGAGTGCATAAACAGCTGTCCTTTCAAAGCTATCAGAGTGTGGAATTCCCTGAAGGAATGGAGCTGTCCAGGAAAGGAAGGTGTGCACTGACCTCGGATGGAAGCAGCAGTCAGACAACCAGTCCGTGTGGCCAGATCCCGTGAGAAGTACATTGCCCTTTGGGAGACCCACCATCTTCCAGAGACGATCCTCACTGCAGGAGACAAGATAGTCTCTGCAGGGGTGCATGACGATGCTGTGCATGAAAAAGAAAGGGCATTATGAACGGACGAATAGTTTTCCAAGGCAAGTGAAGAAAGGTCAATGATCATCCCATTTTAACAAGGTAGACTCAGTCTTTACCCAGAAGTCTCAAAACTAGACTCTACATCCCAGCTGTGACTCAGATATCTTTCTCATCATCATCAGGCTAAGCAACACAATGGATCTCAGATTCCTCACTTACAAAATGAAGATGTTGATTTGGGTGGTCATGAGTAGTTTAAAATAATAGCTGGCTTTTTTTTTCAAGAAGAAAAAACTGTATCATTGACATAGTGTGTGTGTGTGTGTGTGTGTGTGTGTGTGCGCGCGCGTGGGTACGCGGGCACGCACGCACATGCGCTGGGGTATTTAGACCAATGAAATACTTATTATAGAAAAAAAATCATTTTCAGAATAATCTTTCTTCATTCAGGAATTATTTTGTAAAAAGGTAACAAATTCTAATCACATTTGTTATAGTTTTATAATAAATGCTATTGAAACATTAACTTGGTGGCCAGCTAACTTCACAGTGAGGAAGCACTCTGCTAACATGCTACTTAAACTCGTTTCTGTCAATGAGTAGTACACAAATTATGGTAATGAATTTAAGATGTATAAGGCAATTCCCACTTTATAAAGGCCTAGAGGGAAATGAGAAAGAAGAATATAAAATTAATGATTAGCTCACTCAACACCATTATCTGAACTGGATCTCATCACTGTGACCATTAAATATAGAATCTGAATTATTGTAAAATTGAGTCTACAATGTTAATGCCTGATATCTTATCTATGGCAATGCCTTAATCTTATTTACACAGAGGCTCATCTATGTCTTATGATTCAGTGGATGCAGATGAATCTCGTGTTAAGTACCTATTAAAATACAAACTTCAACATGAGCAACAAAATGTTCAATTTCTGCTTGGTCATTTCCGTTCTAACCTGTAGCAAGCTGACTCACCTTGACAGTACAGTGACATAACATCATTAAGAAATAATACTGAACAGTCATTCCTCTATGACTGGTCTTGTTATTTTGCTCTCTAATATGGGCTTTAGAAAATCTATTCCTGAAGAAATCATGTGTCTGATCAATTACTCCAGGTCTTCCATGACAAAAATTATATTCGTACTATCCTTTCAATCAATACTGTCTCCAGATTATGAATAGAAATTCCCTTCTCTTATATTCATCTAGAGGTGGTGCCATAGTTCAACAATGTGCATTCACCATAACCAAGGCTCTGGGTCTAGTGAAACTGCTTTATCTATTTTCAGTATTTTACCCTAAGTAGTTTCAGTATTTGCCCTAAATAAAGACAGTGGAAGGAAAATTATTCATATTTTAGTTCATCGCAATGTTGGTTTTGACTTTCAGAAGGCCAATTCAAGAAAGAAATTTATTACAGCTCAAACAGCTAAAGGATGCATTTATGGAACTTAATTAGCAGAAAAATATGATGTGAGGTAAAAATGCCAGATTGAAACGAATTCTGTATTCAAATACACACTAGAAGGCACAGCAAACTCTCGGAGCTCCCGAATATGATATATGTTGGCTCATAGCTTTCCTGGCAGACTCAGGCACACTTGACTAGATGATAAATTACCCTCTTTAAGTGAAGATAACTAAAATCATTGATGTCTTTACAAACTTTGAGAGATAAGTTTCCAAAATGACTTTTGTGAGAAGAGCTATTTGTAGAAGGCAGAGGATGGGATATAAACAGAAACTCAATTAAAGCAAATCAGTTTGTAATTGTCCTCACTGGACTTCCTCTTTCCTTCCACTTTGATGCTTTCTGTGTAACAAGGCAACAGTGTCTACCATTCCAAGTCTGTATGTGTGCACATTCATGTGTATGTGTGCTTACATACGCAAAGTAGTTCCTATTTTTCTGCAAGGGATACAGTCTAAGTCACCCTTCACAGTGGATACATAAAGCCTTCTATAGCACCAAACACCCCATATTTACACACATTTATATCATATATGATAAAGTTAAACTTAGGAAGTAGGTACAATAAGAGATTATGGGAATAACTAATGCAATAGAAACATATACTACATATTTTTACTCATACTTTCTACTCACAAAGGATTTGCCTTCTCTATTTCTGCTTAGCATTTTCAAACACTGTGTGTTCAAAGCTGTTGAAACCAGTCATCTGGAAACTAAACTGGCATAAACATATTTTTCTCCACATTTTTTCAACAGATTTGTTCTTGCCCTGAGTTTGGCAACTTCTTATCTATCTATCTATCTATCTATCTATCTATCTATCTATCTATCTATTTTTTAGCATTTTTTTGTCTTTTCTTAGTAAGCCTTGCTCACTTAAAGCAGGTACTACATGGTTTTCTGGGACATATATGACTTGTCAATACCAGGGTATTTGCACCTGAGACCATTAAAAATGCTTATTTAGTCGTAAGCACTTTGATGTGATGACTCTGGTGAATCCTGTCACAAAGGGTCTAATGAGAATGCAGTGTACAGAGTGAATGTGCTGTGAAGAGAGATGCTTTCCATTCCAGCCAAGATGGATCAGGCTAGCAAAAGATCTTGTTGTGTTATACACATACAATCATATCCATTTTATATGTCATAATTTTTGTTTCTGAAATTTTCTGCTTATAATTTTTGGATAATAATTGATCTAATATAGGTAAAGTCATGGTGAGCAGAATTTCACATAAGGAGCTATTGCAATATATTGGTGCAAATGTGTATATGCATGAACATATATACTCCGTTGCATGTAAGTGTACATGAAAAATACATGTGTATAATCTTTTTATTATAAATACATAAACACTTCAGACAAGCATTGGTGCTCCATTCTTGAATAGATATATGCAAAGATCTTTTAAGAAATAGAACTATCAATCATAAATTGGAAGTAAGGAATAACACAAGTTTTAATAATTCATTGAATATTCTGTGTCAAGAGGTGAAAATCCAAGTTCAATAACTTTGGGGACAAGAACCAGGAATATTTTCCCAAACAGAAGTAATGCTTCATTCCCAACTCACCAGCACTGTCATTACCATCATCACCATCACCACCACTACCATTATCATCATCAATCATCATCACTTCCATCACCATGACAACCACCATCATCACCATATCTTTCTTGCTTGCTTGCTTGCTTGCTTGTTTGCTTGCTTGCTTTCCTTCATCCCCTCGTCTCCTCCTCCTCCTTATCTTCTTCTTCTTCTTCTTCCTTCCTCCTCCTTTTCCTCCTCCTTTTCTTATTAAACTTTCACACCTTGGACTAGATTCTTAATTCTTACAAGTGAAATGAAACCTCATACAATTGTTTTGTCTGTTGTAATTCAACCTCAGCAGTGTCTGGCACATAATTCCTTTTTAATAAATGCATGTTAGAGATAAGACTGAGTGATGGGTGCTGGTGCTGTTTGTGTCACTCTTTTGATCCCAAGTAAATTGTACTAGACCGTATGTATGTTGCCTAGTTTCACGGGTGATGATGAGTGGAAGCTGACTTTGAGTCTAGGATGGTCTTGTTTCACGACTGATGATTTTCTAGTTACTGATAATCCATATACATTTTTCATAATTTTTATTTAGAAGTACATTATGAATGTGAACTCAGTTTAAATAGACTTCATATGCTATCATTCCCTGAACATGCTTAAGTCATTTAGTCATTATAAAATACAAGTTAAAGAACTCATCTGGGAAATGAGCAATACTACAAGTTATAATAGTGTTAAAGAAACTAGCAGACCCATCATTTGCAGCTAAGATACCTATTCTAAAAATGCTAGAGAAACCAGGTGAGCAATAGCTGTCCTATACCATTCACAGGAGCTTCTGGTAACGTGGAGTATATATTGCATTTATCATGTTTAACTTTTTTACTTGTTCTAATATTCTGAGTCTTGTACTGTATATTAAGTTGTCAAACAGAATAGATATTTCATTCAATTATTTTCACTACAGACATCTCTATGTAATACATGCAGAAGAATATTCGATATACATAAATTCTTGAGGTGGTTAATTTACTGAGTATTTCCCAATCATACATTGGCTTCAGCTTTGATAATTCTGCCTGCTTTTAAATTAGTCTTTTGAAGAAGCTGAAGGAGTTGTAACCAACACTTGATAAGAATCAGTTTCTGGTTCCAAAGTTGCAACCATTAACTCTCTTAATCACTATAATACTATTATTAAGTGGGTTAAGCACAGTGATCACTTTTACAGATAATGGCACTAGAGCACATAGAAGTTAGATGATACACAAGGTCACCAAGTCAAGAGGTGGCAGAGCCAGGATGAACTGGAGAGGACTGCCTTCAGAATCTATATTCCTAAGTCAACTGAACTCAGATCACCAATTATTATTTCCTTGTTTTAGATAACAGGAAACATGTCTCAGTTATGTTAGATAGTTTAGTAAATTTTTTTAAAGTTCCTAAAGAAAAAATATGCATTAAAAAATTTCTAGCCTTGTTCCTAGTATAGGAAGCTAGAATTTTTTGATTTCTTCTTCTGGGAACTAGACACTGGCTATGTTCAGATTGATGGAATGATGGGTTGAATAAAGCTGACTGGGAAAGTACTGTTTATGATCTGAAGCAGAGGCTGGTTCACTTTTTCTGGAAAAAGAAAGATCAGAAGCATTTTAATCTATAAGCCCCAGTTTTGGATGCAACTATTTAGTATGACTATGGTAGTATGAAGCTAGCAAAGACATAGACTGAACATATAAGCTAGAGTGTGATGGAATAAAACTTTATGGTCACACTTGGCCTATGGCTACAGTTTGATAATTTCTGTTTCTGTAGAATTTTCATGACATGGAATACACTAGTGTTTAACAGTGTGAGTTCAGGAGTAAGAAGCAAGTTTATATTTTCACTGCAGCATCATTAACTATGTATCTTCAAATACCTTCTTCATCAGTCTCAGCCTCTTACATAAATAATAGAAATATCAGAGTACTGATACA